CCCCTCGGGGTTACAACTATGAAATATCATCAGATCGACTTCTCATCCAAAAAAGTGAAGTAATTGCTAATCATTAAGCATTCACTATCCTACAACTTAACTAAAAGAGAGAGAACCAAGTCGTGATTGTTGGTGGAGTGTTAATGTGAGGGCGAGAAAGAGGGTCAACTCCACAAGGAAGCCCTATTCAAAAAAAAAAAAATTCTGAACAATTTTTTAAATCTTTGTTCAAAACTTGCATGCAACAACATATATATAGCGAATTTCATCTTGAATCCAATATCAACAACATAAATATTGAGAGCGGTCTTTTAGATCTTTTTATACATGTGATTTGTTTGAAAGACAAAACTAAGGAGAAAACAACCAAAATATTTAATTTTGTTTTCTTCTTTTTACCCAAAGCATCTTGCTTGAGAGCTTTCTCTTGGGTCGGGGATTGTTGATATCATCACGACAAGATGGACATGAATGCTTGCGGCTCAGCCACGAGAGAACACAATCCCTATGGAAATTGTGTGAACAAGGCAACTTCATGATGATCTTCTTATTCGACGATAACTCTTCTAGACATATGGCACAGTCTTGTTCTATTGGTTTTCTTCGACCTTCAGAATCATAATCATTGATGCATACCCAATTATTCAACGATGTTTCTTTAACAATTTCAGCTTCAGCTTCCACAATGAAACCTTCTTCTTTTCCATGAAGGCTACTCATATTAATCGCGTCTTTGGAGATGTTAGGAACGACGTGATCCTGAATCCAATTCTTGTTCATCTTTGCCTTGGACAACACGTTAGAAACATATCTATTGCATGTTTCTTCCTCATCAAGGAAAGCAGATGGGATCTCAGATACGATTGCTTCTCCTGCATCTTTCATATCTATGTTTCTTTGTTCAAGCAGACTTTCACGACCGCTTGGACTCCTGATAAGAGTCCGCTCAATTCCTCGGATCCTTAGTGAGAAAGATCCTGAAGCTTTGGAATCTATCGCTTGCGTCTTGGATTCATAGTTTATAATCCATCTCGTCGGGTTGGATTCACGTTTTGCAGTCCATGTGGCCTGGCGGCTCTCCATATCGTAAACCGAAAAAGACTTTGTGATTAGTTTATGCCAAAGGCTATAAGAACAAAACTGTTGTTTTTGTCTCTCTCTGTGTTCATGTGATCGATGTTCTTGCTTATATTTATAAGACGAGACCATTTGAGTTTCCATTTTCAGCTAGGATTAGGATTAGGATGGCCTTATTAAAAAAAGGAAAGAATATATTTATTTATTTATATGTATGATACGTATTAAGTTTTTAAGAGCATCCGCATTGGAGACATTTTGTATGTGTCTTTAAATATAAAATTATTAAAAGTTGAGTAAANNGANGANANANNGNGTATTATTGGAGAGAGGATGTCTCGGAAAAGACAAAGTTGGAGAGAAAATTGATGAAAGTTGAAGTGTGTTTAAATATAAAATTAATAAAAGTTGAGTAAAAAAATGAAAGATAAGGTATAAAGTTGAGTAAAAGAAAGAGAGAGTGTGTTTTTAATATTTTTTTTATTTAGAGACATCCACATTTGGTCTCCAATGTGGATGGTCTAACCCGTTAACCTCGCCACGGCCCACGTGCTATAATTTTAACCTT